CTAAAGTTAGTTTCCCTTTGAAAACAAACCTTTTCGTCTCCGCCATTTGTCCTAGCCCAACGACCATGGATCTGCAGCTGCAAGACTATGTTGCCCAGGACTCCGATGGTCATGAGAGCTTCGATGGTAGTCAGGGGTCTGGGTGGTGACTGCTGGGAACATGAGCAGTGCAAAACGCTAGTCTCAAAGGGACAAGCGACTTCGTAAGCTTCCGACCCTTGTACAGGTATAGGCGCGTTTGCTTGGGGAGTTACGGACGTGCTGGGAGCAGATTGCTTTAAAACTTCAAGATGAACGTGGTTTTTGCTTCCCGCCCCACAGGCGAGATACACTGGCTTGCAATATTGAAGCGTGGTGCAGCTTCTGGCTCAAGGCCACAATGAACGTGGGGAAGGCTACCCTTTAGATCTGGATTTTGAAGACCTGTTGCGGGCAGCTCCCAGCCCAGAAGCCGCTTTTAGCATCAGGTCACTGTAGAATGTCAGTCTCTCAAGCACGTCTACCTTCTTCAACCAGATGTTCCAAGGTCACAATGGGGCAGGGCATTTGCAAATGCGAGGAAGACGAGTCTTCCAAAGCTGCGAATCTTGATGTCGCCTCTGCTCCTTGGCTCAACTGCCACATGTTGCAGAGTGACCACACAAGTCTCACGCAAGCTTCCGCCAGCTCGCTTCAGCCGAGCACACCAGAGATTTAAGGTTCCGGTGCTTGCCGACCAGGTCAAAGCAGCAAAGGTCGAGCGCAGCGATTTGTAGACTTTCGTAGATGGCAGCTGCAAAGACATGAGATGTATGTCATCAGCCTGAGACAGACATCCCTAAACAATGCTTGGTATTTGGAACCAATCTATAGGTAAATATAGGTACAGCTCAAAGGCTGGCACGTGTCATACTCACCAGCAACAATTGCTCCGCGAGGCACAATTCATGGGAGGTGTTCTCGATGGTCCTTGGTTTCGGAAGGGAGACAACGTGTTCCTGGGCAACATCAAGGCCTATGCTGACCCTAAGTTCTCACTGCATAGCACCTTGGCAGTCAGTAGATGGCAGTTGAACTGGTCCAGGAAGAAAAGATGAACTGGGTACCTGGGTTCAACCATGATCCATGTGATCTGCAGGAGGCCAGAGCTCTGTGCTATCGATGGTCTCAGTTATTCTGAACTGCGTTGACACTGCAGGTAGACTCATTTCGAGTCAGCATATTTCTAGAAGGCAAGACACACAGTGGGGACACTTGCCAGCATCAAATTAGCAAGATCTGGCAGAAGACGGCCAGCTCTCGATCATTGCAGTGTTTCCATGGAGCCAAGGTCGTTTCCAAAAACGGCACTGAGACGATCATATGTTGGAGCGATGGAGAGGTTTGGTTTAAGGGCTAGACCCTGATTTCCATGCAGTGGAACACTGCTAAAGACTGTTTTTTAGAGCCCTGCATGTGGTCTGAAAGGCCCTGTTAAGCAGTTCACGCCGCCTTCAGATGGGGCTTTGCCCAGGTTGCACACATTTGCACACAGGCGGGCCTGGCCAGCACGAAGACATCTCTAAACAAACAAATACAAGGTTTGCATTGCCCGGCTCATCGTTTTGCTGCAGCAAAACTGCTGCCACCTTCAGACATCCCCAAGCAGTGGTTCTGAAATTGATACATCCTGCAACACCTTGCTGGTCCGTCTCCGCGAGTACTTTCCCGTGGCTTCACTGCTTGGTCCGGGTGACAACGCCAGCACCCATGCCATTGAAACATGTTTCACCTCGTTCTGTGGTATGTGTGCAGCCACTCCAATATGCGCAGATGAAATCAGGAGATGGAATCAAAGTGAGATCCTACGCATCAATGTGCCACTGGATAATAAGGAAGCCAGGAGACAGCTAAGCATGGAAAATATCGTTCCTTTGCCTTGAGTTCCTGCAAGCACATGCCCTACAGTCCACAGGATGTCTCAGCGACATCAAAGCACGAAAGGACAAAAGGACCTCTTCCGGTAATTAGGGCCAAAACATTCGTGCAGCTCCGGCCAGGCTGAAGGCCTTTCAATTCTCGCGAAGGAGGACCCCAAAAAGAGAATGTGTCAAACTTGCACTGCTTCAAGGCTTCCCAGCCGAGGATACAAACCACAGTGCAAGCTTGTCTTGCATTGCCCTTACGGTGTGCTACAATCTGCAGCTGGCTCCTGCAAGCACCACGAACGAAGGTTGGAATTCAGGAGCACCACACGTTGCCATCCATGTCAACGTGATGTCTTAGGGCTTCTCGTGATGGAGCAGCCTGGGCAATGCAGAACGGACAGCGTGCAGGCGACAACAGAAGGCAACATGTTACTAGCCGATCTATACCAGACGTTGGCCATGAAAGGCTTCTATTGATGGTGTGAGGGAACGTCGTGCAGCACTGAGTTTGGTCCTCAGAGTGGTGCAAGAGGTTTTCCAGGTGTCTTGCAATTTCTCAATGGAACTTGCCCAGCGATTGCGTAGCACTTGTCCCGCGCATATTCTGTCCTCCGAAGGTTCTGCGCTGGCGCAAGCACACCGTCGTAGTGTTGCGGCCACTCGCGGGGCAGTCGGCCAGCGTCTTACCCGAGAGCAAGGGATAGTTTGCCAGTTGATTCATTTCCTGTGGTAAACGTGCGAAGTTTCTCCTGGACGCGGGGAAGCTCACATGGCATGGCAGTTGTACAGGGTTTGGCGGTCGGAATCACCCCTCCATAGTCAAAAAGCACCCATATCAGAATCTTTGAGGGAAGGGTCAGTTCAATCTAAAGCTGTGTCCGTAGAGCAGCAGCAGGCATCCTAAATCGCAAACAAGTTTCTGATAACCTTTTGTCATCCCGCTCGTGATCCAGAGAAGAACTGGACACCTCAGTGGATTTGGCTACCAAAGGCGAAGACATTTGAGCAAACACTGCAGTTAAAGGCATACTGAGATGTTGCTTAAAGCCGGGCCATTATGACTCTGCGTAGGTGAGATTAGGGCTGTGGAGCCAAGCAAGTTTGGAACATCGTTGGATTTGGCATAGGCGCAGTTGAATCATGTTGAAGCCATTGCGCAGTGTGGGAACAGGTGACCATTGCTGAAACAGCCACTGTCATTCGGCGCTCCTACGAACCCAATTTGTGTTCCTTCCATGGCACCCGGCAAGATTGAAGCCGGCCTAGCCGTGACAGCTGGGCTGCATAAGCCTATGCTAAAGCCTGCTTGCGCACGATTATAGTGGCTTGCCCTAAAACCACTTTGCCGAAAACATGTATGCAGCAGGTACACCACATATGTCAACACGACATCTCTTGGGGTGCCAAAGCAAAGGTGAGCGCAACAAGGGCAAGGAAGGGTACCCTGCAAGCTCTGAGAAATGGGGCAGTTGGGGCTTGGTGGGTTCGACTTGAGCTGCAGTTGTTGGTTTTTGGTCGTGGCTTCATTGTTCTCCAGACTAAGGAGGCAAGAAGAACCCAGAAGCCGACGACACTATGGGCCATACATGCGGGACGCGGTTGACAGAGCCCCGATCCCGGACCGGTCTGCGTCACGCTGCGTACCAACAAGCATCAAGAACATGCGCTTGGTTGGTCAGTGGTTGGTCCATACTGATTCCTGGCAGGAGATTCGGGCATGAGGACTTTGAGGATCTTTCTCGCTCAAGGACGGCCTTCCCAGCTTGCCGAGAATTTTGTGGCATCAGAAAAGCCAACTTGCCAAACAAAAATGTATTACTATGTGCCTTGAATCGCAAGCGCCGGCAGGTGGCTTTTCTTCGGCGAATGTCAATGTGCCATATCAAGACAAGTCGCAGATGCCCTCTGGTCGCAAAGGACTGCTGCTGCGTATGGCAGCTTGCTCGAGAAAGACGTGCAATCAAACGCGCTACACGACGTGTGCAGGAAGATGGCTGCTTTGCAGGCGGAAGCGCAAGGTCAATTTGCCATCCTCCTGGCTGATATATGTCCCAAGACTGCTGCCCTCTCAGCTTGTTCATCCGGCCTGGCCCTTAAAAGGCTTATACAGCAAGCCGAAGGCCCCGCCGCTTCGGGTCTACTGCACCTTTGACCACATCACTGGCAGGCACATTCACTGCAGCCAAGAACCCTCCACAGCTTGTGCTGAAACAGGGGCCCAACAGGGGCCCTCGCCGAGTTTTCATCCGTAGCTGCGGCGGAGAAGGCTTGGAGACCGCAATCAGCCAGGATGCTGCAGGCTTCTGCAGGGTGCCTGCGGCACATCATGCTGAGACGCCAGGCTTTGGCAGCGTGCCGGCAGGTTGCAGCCTCGGTGGGCACATGCAATTGATAATTTCTTGGCATCATGCAGACTTTACAGTAACAGCTTGCCTGTTGAAGTGTTTGCGCCAGGAGGCGCATCGACCACTATGGGCATCTTAGAGACCAAAAACAAATCTGGAGAATTGTTTCTAGGCGTTTTGGGCATTTCGAAGCCTAATGGAAAGTATATGGGACGATTCTGACCACGCCGAACGGTTCCGACTCGTGCTGCGACCTACACGCAACCATTTTGAGTTGTGAGACCCGTTCAGGGCTTTTCCTAAGACTTTGCCTTGCAAGCACTATTTCATATGTTGATATGACCTCGGGCGACCACGAGACGCCTCAGCAAGATCCTGCATCCAGAGATTTGCCCCATAGCTCCTGTGAAAAGCACTCCAGTTCTTGAGATCCTAAACTGAAACACGAAGCACCACCCTTTGGCAGGGAAGTCATGCAAAACACTCGAGGCGAGCTGCAACCACAAGTCGCCGACACCGTTGTGGAGGCAGTGTGGCTTCCTTTCTGCATTACAGCGCCAGAGGAACATTTCAAGCCTGAAAGAGGAGAGTGGATGTTCCCTTTGAGCAGAGATTTTTGAAGTTTGCTCGTCGTTCGCTCCGAAAAGCAAAGCTGCGTGTTGCCTCTGCTAGCTAAGGCTTTGCTGAACTCCCCAGTTTCACCAAGGCTGAAAGGCAAGTGGCAAAAAGCGAGGGCTGAGCTGCTCACTGCAATCCGAACTAATCTCTCGAAGTTGTTTGTGCGCTTGCGGGTGTTTATTCCCAGGTCCGAAAACACAGGTCTTGCGTAACCATGAGGGGAAGCCCCTCAAAATGACATTGCCACAGCAGCACACTAAATGGGAGGCAAGGAGTATCAAGCATATGCAGCATTGAACATGATATGACTGAATGCCAGCTTGACTAATCTGACAAGCTGCGGCGCCGAAGAAACGCCTTAGCAGCCATGGTCATGCCTGCGGCTGAGCGTCCATGCTGATGTTTCAGTGTTTTCTATGTTTTTCTAAACCTAAAAGACCAGCAATATAGCTAGAGCTTTGCCATTTGTGTTACCGCAGAGTGCATGCATTCTGCGTTTTTGGCACTAAGGCCAACAACCTGGGTGGGCAGAGCACCGGCCCGCAACTTTGCCAGGGTTCATTGGTGGCCAATGATCAGGATGCCGGCCATGCCTGGGGACACTGTTGAAGGTAGAAGTTGGGCAGCGAAGCGTGAACCTAACGGGACGGGAAGGCGAGGTTCATTGCAATCAACTCCTGCTAGAACAGGGTACGCATACAAATACGCAACCCCAGATTTCAAACTCCACACACCTAATCTACAAACGGCATGCAACTAACCAGCTGTTGTTCCTTCCAAGGTGCAGCTGGTCGAGCCCCCAAGGCCAAAATTTCTGCCGGAGCTTCGCATATTGCCCGAGCCAACAGCGGCCTGCCAGGATTTGCCCTGGCAGCCGAGTCTTGAGTCCAAGACTACGGGCTTGCAAGGTGCAGGAGGCCAGGGATTCAGAATGCGTGCGCAAACTGCCTCTGGATGTTCACTGCCTCTCCCTGCAGTGAAGGTGGACCAGGTTGTCCAGGAAGGCGTGCAGCCATCTCGCCTGGCGCAATTGAGACGAGGCGATCAAAGTCAACATGCAAGCATCGGCACCTGAATGTCTTTTCTGGCAGGACAGAAGGTTGCTTTTATTGCTGCTTTCGCGGCATCCCTATTGGGTTTGGCCCATTTGGTGCTGAATGTTTTCTCGGACGGCACCAGGCTTCGGCTGCTGCCTGAACCGCACAAATCCTGAAGCTATCCTTCACAGGCCATTGTGGCTGGGTCGGTCAAGACGACATGGTGCGGAAGTTCGGGTGGCATTGTCCGGCTTCCTCTCAGCTCATCCCCTCGCAACTCGGTGACAAAAGGTGGTGTGATGTAGTATGCCAGCTCAGCGACATGGAATGTCCTCTGAGGAATATCCTGGCCTTCTCCTGGCAAGTAGTGCGGTGACAGGTGCCTGTGAGGCAGCTGCCCGTGTGAATTGTAGCAGGCATTATCGCAGCTTGTGCGCCCCAAGCCATTCGACCTGGGTCGAAACATCCTTTCCCTGCCCGGAGCTGTCATAG